TTACTTTCTCCTGCACACCCCCAATCGTTCTGCTTGTCTCTATCTTATTTTACTTCTTGTTACTTTTGCAGCTGATTGTATTTCATAAGGCAGAAGAGGGGGGAAGCAAATTGAATTATAGCTAGCCAGAGGAGTTCAGGAGGATAAGAGGCTCTTACAGCAATATAGGGGGGATGAAGTAGTGGAGAATATCCACTAATTAACGAGGTGAGTGAAATTACAATGATTCTAAAATGGCTGATTTACTTAACTGCTTTGTAAATTGATCTTTAAGTAGGGTAAGTTTATTCAAATATTTTAAAAAGGGAAAATAACTGCAGCCCTGCTAGAATAATGGTTCTAGATAATATTACTGTAGTTATTCATTAAAAAGATAATTGGCAATGTTGGAACATGTTCAATAATACCACGTTTTGCAATATTTGTTTTGGGTTTTTAAATGGAAAATTCTCAGTTCCTGCAGTTATCAATACATAAAACTCACTCAGAAGCATTGTTTCTAGATCTCATGGTTGTGTAGAGATGTATCCGAAAATGTGAATAAGAGTTCAAAATCAAGAAGACGAAAGAGAAGTATATCAGATGCAATATATGCTGCGTATGTAAGTATAAGCAAGGCAGTTTTTACATCTGTATGTGACATTAGTTAGACCAGCAGAGAGATACTGTATCTGATTTTGATGTTCTTACCTTTTATGCATTTGAAAAATTATGCAGAAGTTTTTTAAAAGGGTTGGAGGGGTAGAAGAATATTTTGCATGGACAAACTGACAGACCATTGATTTTGGTTTGCTTTGCTTTGTTTTTTCAAATTGCCACATTTTTCCAGTGCTTGTGTTAACATAGCATGATGGATTTAGTTCGACAGTAGGTTTGCTACTCTTAGATTACTTTCTGCAAGCCTCTTAGAAGCAGTCCACAGATTAAGAGGACTCTGCAGAACGCAAGTTGGATATCTTATCCTTACAGTAGAGGATGGCCCTGTCCAGCAGCTCTTGCATCCCTGTGCAATTACTGCACATGCACAGCATACTCCTGCTGCATTGAAGTGGGACAAGTTGGAGGCCAGACCACTTTTCCCACATACATCAACCTACAGCAGGTCATAGAATTATAGAATGGTTAGAGTTGGAAAGGACTTTTAAGATCATCCAGCTCCAGCCCCACTGCAATGGCCAGGGACGCCTCACACCAGAGCATGTTGCCCAAAGTTCTGTCCAGCCTGGCCTTGAGCACTGCCAGGGATGGAGCATTTAGCACTTCTTTCGGCACCCTGTTCCAGTGCCTCACCCCCCTCACTGTAAAGAACTTCTTCCTTATATCCAACCTGAACTTCCCCTGTTTAAGTCTGAACCTCATACCCTTTGTCCTGTCACTACAGTCCCCGATGAAGATACCTTCTCTGGTATCCTTGTAGGCTCCCTTCAGATACTGGAAGGCTGCTGTGAGGTCTCCCTGTAGTCTTCTCTTCTCCAGGCTGAACAGCCCCAACTTTCTCAGCCTGTCTTCATACGGGAGGTGCTCCAGCCCTCTTATCATCCTCGTGGCCCTCCTCTGGACTTGCTGCAGCAGCTCCATGTCCTTTTTATGTTGAGGACACCAGAACTGGACACAGTACTCCAAGTGAGGTCTCACAAGAGCAGAGTAGAGGGGCAGGATCACCTCCTTTGACCTGCTGGTCACGCTTCTTTTGATGCAGCCCAGGATATGGTTGGTTTCTGGGCTGCAAGCGCACACTGAAGCCGGCTCATGTCAAGCTTCTCATCAACCAACACTCCCAAGTCCTTTTCTGCAGGGCTGTTCTGAATCACTCCTCCACCCAAACTGTAGCTGTGTGTGGGATTTGCCCTGACCCAGGTCAATCATTTCTCTTTCATCTAAGAACACTGCAGTTCATTATATGTAATTCACTAGTAATTTACTAAAGGATACTTAGGATTCACTAAAGGATTACATGTAATTCACTAAAGGAGATTAATTTGGCCTGACAACCCAGATCTAGAAGCGCAGCCCTGACATTTTGGACAAACTAGGAGTCACACCTAAATTTTAAAAGGAATGACTGGCCATGGCAACAAACTGCTGCAGGAAATGGCAAGTTCTGTGTTACGTGGCATTTTTGAAGCTACCTGAAAAGTAATGCTTTTGTCAGATGCCGGTTTTTCAGTTCTTGGGCTAGAAGGACAAAAGTTTTGGTTTTTTAGGTCTGTGACAAATGGGAGATTAACCTAGACAGTCTAAAGTATGTTTTAGTATTAAACTTTAAAGAGTCAGTAAAATAGGAATTTTGAGTAGAGGTAATTCTGGATGGAGGTTCTTGTTCATTAAATTCTCCAGTTCAACAAAGTACTTGAGCACATGAAACTTGGTGTTGACAGATAAATGATCCAGGAAATGGCAGCGTTAGAAATACAGGTAAGAAATGCCCCAGATGGCTTTATCTCTAAGGAAAGGCAAGCTGGCATATCTAGTGAAAACCATCTCAAGGCCAGATGTTTATGAAGAGATTTTCTATCTGAAAACCATACCACTCGGAGGTGACATGGGGGGGTTTCAGGTTGTACCAGAGTTTGAGATGTGAGTCAGTAAGTCACTGTGACACTTCTCACAAAGCTTGGAGAAAAGCACTGAGCAGCCCTGCCTCCCCCGACGCAGAGGCCAAACCTAGAACACAATGTCTGTTTCCAAATGCTCCTTGTCAAGCTCTGAACGTCTCAGTCTGAGATATGACTTCCAAATTTTAGTTGTTACAATTCCAGTCAGTCACTAGTCTACTGCTGCATTGGCTGCTGTGTCCTCCTTTTAGTAGAATAATCTGGGTGCTTGTCTTTTAAAATTTAAAATGGCCTGTGCATTTTCAGTAATCAATTGTCCAAAGGACAGCGCATTCCGGTTGGACTGAAGCACTTATATGGCTGTAGTCTGTCTGTTTTCTCACAGTCATTTTCTTGGATGGGAGTCATCCCCTTGTGTTGTCCTCCTGCTTCTTTCTCCTATGTCCACACTGTTGAAACGATTAAAAGGATTCAATAGCTGCTTGATGACGCCAAGGACAGGAGCTTTTTCTCATTTCTGTATTTTCCAGGCTTCAGATGCCATTTTTGTGGGTTTATGCATCCTGGCTTCATAGCACTTTGTCTGTATAGCTACCCTTTAGCTACAGCTCTAATAAGCAAGCCAGTTCTCAGTGTTGTTCTTCAACCTCATGGCCACTTGGCCACCTCCATACTACCAGACCCTCCTAGCACTGAGACTGAATGGCTGCATCCAGAGAAGGTTTGTGGTGTCTGCTCCATGCAAAGTCTTGAAAAAAGCCTGTGAACTGGCTGGAAGTGCACTGGTTGTGCTGAACCAAAACTGTGCCAAAGACAGCTGCAGTGATTTAATAATGCTGCAGATGACTGCATGTAGATGCTACAGTGCCTGTTCTTGGGCACTGTTTAATTTCCTAGTATTGACATGGCTGTACCCTCTGACTCAAGGATAGATGTGTTCCCATTGCCTCGTCAGGTCTGGGTAGTAAGAGGTTACTCCCCTGAAGAGATTCTCTTGCTACACATCAAAAACCTACAGATTTTGTTTACTGCGATTCATGTATCTTAAAAAAGCACTTGAAAAATTGTCACTCTGTGGCTTCTGTTGGGGACTTCTCTGTGCCAGTGCAGAAATGGAAATGAGATGTGATCTTCAAAATTTGTGGAGAGAAATAGACAGCCCTGTGTCTGGAAGGTCTAGCATAATTGAGACAGCCAACATCCCTCTTTCTGTTTTCATTGGGTCCTTGGAATTCTTGCTTGACTTTCCCGAGGCTGCTGTTTGTCTACTCTCACTTGTAGGGATTGTACGTTAGCTCTGTCATGTCTCCTGGAGTTTGAGTGATCTCTTCACCCTGCTCTCCTGCAGGAATTGTAATAAAGCATTGACTCATAAGAAGAGTCACAAGAAGGATGGAAAATGGAAAATGCCTTGATCTCTTTGCCAAGTTCTGTCTGCCCTCCATCTGCCATCCTTTCTCAAAATCTTAAGCTCTGAAGGAGGTGATCTTGTAATTTTTATGCCGTTTGGATGTGTAGTGAAGAGACCTAGGAAGGAAAACAGACTAAAGGTGAATATTGTGATTTATGTTTCTCCCAGTTCCATTTCTGGGCTTTGCAGCAAATACATGTTCGTTGTTCTGGCACTTTGGGAAGTTTAGGAGTTAAAAATGCTTTTGATGAGCCACCATGATGATTGAGTTACATGAGAAGCCTGCCTTTGGAGGGGAAAAGGCTGTAGACTTATTTTTTTAAATGAAAGCTCAGTAGTAATTGGATGTGCTGCACTTTCCTTGTTAGGGCAGGTGATCTGTGACAGCATTGCAGGTTCAAAAGTTATTGACTTCAGAAATCAAACTTCAGATATGGGACTTCAGTCAAATCAACTTTGGTCCTACAGGCCACTATTATTTCCGCTAGATGTGTTTTTTATCTTCTTTTTTTCAAGGTAGTAACAAAGTTAGGGGAACTTGAACTCTTCGCACTTAAGATTTGAAAGAGATTCATAAAACTCACGTCATAACTGGTTAAAACTTCTCCAAAAAAACTCAACCTTGACCTAACAGGTTTGGAGTCTGGGTGGTGGATACTAAGCAATGGACAATATTTTGTCTGAAATCAAGTTGCAGCCTTAATTACCGAGCAACCACTGTCTGTCTGTAGCAGCGGTTTATCAAAAGCAAAAGGGTACTATTGTACAAAATGTAGGGAATGGTAGTAGAAGAGAGAATTGCTGTTTGAGCACTTCAAAGAAAATAAGCTCTTCTGCTACGTAGTGAGACTAGCATTCGTGGGAGGTTGCCAGCTGAGCTTGTTTGGAGGTGGACTATTGGGCCACCAGTTCTGTCATGTGTGTGACTTAAAGTTTTGGACCAGAATTGATCTTTCCCGCATGTAAGGTACTTGCATGTACCACAGAGAACTATTGAACTGAATTATTTGCTTTTACATTTTACCTTGTTTTAGTCTGCTGGAAACCATGTCTCACTACACAGACGAACCAAGATTTACCATAGAGCAGATAGATCTGCTTCAGCGCCTGAGACGTACCGGAATGACCAGACATGAAATCCTCCATGCGCTGGAAACCTTGGATCGTCTTGATCAAGAACATAGTGACAAATTTGGAAGAAGGTCTAGCTATGGAGGTGGTTCCTACAGCAACAGTACCAACAATGTCCCAGCGTCTTCCTCTACAGCCACAGCTTCAACACAGACCCAGCATTCTGGGATGTCCCCATCACCGAGCAACAGTTACGATACCTCCCCACAGCCTTGCACTACTAATCAGAATGGGAGGGAGAGTAACGAGAGGTTATCTGCATTCAACGGGAAGATGTCACCTACCCGCTACCCACTTGCAAACAGCTTGGCTCAAAGGTCATACAGTTTTGAAGCTTCTGAAGAGGACTTGGACATTGATGACAAAGTGGAGGAACTGATGAGGTTAGTAGAAGTCTTTGTAAAAAGTTTGGAAAGTCAGAGTGAGAGGTCCCCCAGAAGAAATTTGCATGTTGGAGGACTGGTCAGTAGAGATAGGTATTACCAAGGAAGTGGGAACAGCTTTAGACAGCTATTCCCTTGTTAGTTCCATAATGGTCACTATCTCAGTACCTCTCAACTACCTCTTAGTCTTGTGCAGAGAAGGCCTGGCCATGTGTGGGTATCCCAGTCTGTTTTACTGTTGAAATATCTATACTAAAAATTGAAATTAATGTTAGTGCACTAATTTTCACCCTCCTCTTATTCAGGAGACTTCTGACTGAGTGTCAATTCACATGACTCCTCCTCCACTACTTCATACCAGTTGTATTTCCTTGCATATGTAGGGCGAGTAGAGAATCTGCTTGATCAAAGTTTTCCAATGGGATCTGCAGAGCACGTTGTTATCTGTTTAGAGGTTGTGGCAGGGCTGACTCTCTGGGATTTCCACAGTCTGCACATTGGCATAGGAAAAACAAATAATAAAGAAAAAGCAGAAGTCTTCACTGAGAGCCAGTGGGTTGAGTTTTGTTTTTTTTTCCCCAGACTGACCTTCCTTTACTTTTAGTGGCTTCCTTTTCAGCATTATGGCAAAGATGAAGGGAGGGGATTACGCTACTGAGGATGAAGGTCAGAGTCAGTGGGCTTGATAGCAAAAAGAAATAAGAGGAAAGGCCAAAACAGTTCTGGTCATAATGTTGGAATGTCTTTCCCTGCTCCTCCCCCCCAAAAAAAGAGAAAAAAAAATTGCAACATTTATGAAGTGCCTATGAGAGATCTAGGGTCCATAAGCTCCAGGATAAAAGTACGTTTGAACTAGTTTGGAGACTTAGGGTAAAAGTGTGGCTTTTGGAGGAGAGTTTTAGGGATGAGCAGTATGAAAAGCTGATCAACCTCATGTACTGCTGGCTGCAGGATAATGGAGTAATGCAGGAAGGTCTTGGGTTTAGCAGTGTGCAGGATTTCTCATTGCTGAAGTTTAATCATTCCTCTTGAGTTTTGGGTTCCTATGCAATAAGTCTCAGGTAATGCTTTTAATGCTTATTTAAATAGAAACTGCTTTTATTTGCAGGCATACAGAAGATGAGCATTGGGTACAGAACTAAAAATGAACCCACAACATAGCATTTATTTTGAATTTACATTTGCAAGCTTGAATCTGCCTTGAATGCTGCTGGGGCAGGAGGGGAGAAGGGGAAGGCAGACTACCAAATAATGAAGTCTAGTTTTAATTGTCTGCCCTTCAGAGGAAGAGGAGAGAAAAGTATGTGTTTACTGCAGTTAAAATTTTTCTGCATATCACAGTCCCTCTGCAACCTACAGATTTTATTTTCTTTCTAGCACAGTTTTAGTCCCTTCTGAACTATCTTTGCACACCTTGTAAAAATCATACAAAGGCTTCAAATAACTGACACTTGTTCATTCAGTGCAAGCTGTGGACTAAGGAAGTGGGGGGAGGGGAGGAGATAGAGGTTGCAAAATCTTTTCTTCTTTGAGTCTTCCTTGAAAGGTTTGAGGAGGTTTGTGTATGTATATCCATTTGTGCAGCTAACCAGGCAGACCCTGCTATCCTTTATATTTTATTTTTGTGCCTCAGTTTTATGACTGGGGTTTTTATGCTGGTATGTGAGATTTATTCATCCCTGTGTAATGAAACTTTGTACATTCCATATGGCAGTGCTGCACCTAATATGAATTATATAGGACATGAGTCATCCATTCTCCTGCTAGCGTACTTTGATCAAACGTGACACTTGTTAAAAGAAGTGTCCACTGGTGAGGCACTTTGACTATTTTAATGCCTGCCTTCCCCTCTCCTTGTCCCCTAAATAAAGGAAATAAAGCCATTTTGCATCTCCAAAGTGCACTTTGGTCTGTCTGTCTTTTTGTGTGTTCTTTTGGTTTTTTTTGTTTTGGTAGGAGGGACAGCAGCGTGATAAAGGAGGAAATCAAAGCCTTCCTGGCCAATCGGAGAATTTCCCAAGCAGTCGTTGCACAGGTAACAGGTAAGAGCTCAGGGAGTCCTTTCTTCATTTTGGGAAACTGTGCCTAACTGTCTATCTCTGCACAGTGCAGATGTTGGAATATTACTTGGCTTTCTGCATTGCAGTGCAGATCTGTCAGCTTAGTCATGATAATGTATGCCTTTGATTTAAGACCCATTGTCCTGCACATCATGGAACTTCCCCAGTGAATCACTTTTTTTTCTTTTTCTTTTTTTTTCTTTTTGTGGCTTGTGCTAGCAGATTTTATTTTACAGCATTATAATAAGCCCTAAGTTCTTATCTTCAAATGAAAAAGGTTTTCCTTAATTCTAAAATTGTTTGTGGAGTGTGGCAAATAGATGTGAATCTTCATCTTTATATATGGGGAGAGAGAGATATAGATATAATATGTATTTATATTACAAATTGTATATGAATAGTAGGGAGACACAGCTGTAGTTGGTATAACTACAGGCAGAGAGAGCTGAGCTTGTTCAGCATGGAGGTGAGAAGGCTCTAGGGAGACTTTCCAGTGCGTAAAGGTGCTGACAAGAAAGCTGGAGAGGGGCATTTGACAAAGGCCTGTAGGGACAGGACAAGGGGGAATGGCTTTAACCTGACAGAGGGGAGATTGAGGTGAGATCTTAGGAAGAAGTTGTTCCCTGTGAGAGGGTGGTGAGGCCCTGGCACAGGGTGCCCAGAGAAGCTGTGGCTGCCCCATCCCTGGTAGTGTTCAATGCCAAGTTGGATGGGGCTTGGAGCAACCTGGTCTAGTGAAGGTGTTGCTGCTTTGGCAAGGGGTTGGGACTAGATGAGCTTTAATGCCCCTTCCAACCCAAACCATTCTGTGATCCAGGAGTCGTATTGTGATAAACTGAAGTTTTTCAATCACTTGCCTTTGAGCAACATCCCCAGTTCCCCCAGCCGTTCCTCACAAGATGTTTCACCAGCTCCATTGCCCTTCTCTGCATATGCTTCAGCACCTCAATATCTTGGGATGAAGACTTAATAAAATAGATAGGTCAATCCCATGTTATACCTATAACACGTATTATTTTTTTTAACTCAAGCTTGAATAAAATCTTGAAAGTAGATAATTTTAAAGGCTTCTTGATGACTAGGAATTACAAACCAGCAGGAGGGAAGTTGTTTGTTGTTTTTTTTTTTTATGGTATCTCCAGTATTTGAAAGGTCATAAGAACCCATCTGCCTGGGAGATTTGGATTTGCAGACATGCTAGCAGTTGAGGTAGGCAGGCAGAAAAGGGTGCTTGATCCATGGAACTAGGAATTCCTTCCACATCTCTAATTTTTCTCTGTGATCTTGGGCTAAATTATTTGTCCTTTCCTGGTTTCAATTTCGTCTTTAAAATCATGAGATTAACATTTAGTGTAACTGAGGAATATTATTAGCCTTATCAGATGTTAGCATTCATACTTCAAAAATTAAATTTTAAGTCTAGTTGCTTAAATTATACCTGAACTTTGAAGTTTTGGCAGTTAGTGGGACCCTCCCCTACTTTTGTGCAGTCCTTGCCTGAATATAGTTCTAGAATAACCTATCTCTGAATTAACCTTCATGTCTACCAGCAGTTAAACTAGCTTCCTCTTCAAGAGAAATAAAGCAAAGAGGGAAAAATTGCAGAAAAAGACTCTCTAAAAGAAGCCAGCTTTTTTTAAATTATTTTTTTTATTTTTTGTCAGTGCAGACTGCTGCATGCAGATCCATTGAATCAGAATTACCACACCAAATCTAAGACAGAGGCTGTATCAGTAGAAAGGAGCTAATGATAGTTATGTAGGTGTCTTGGTGCATGTCTTTGATACCTCTGCAGGCAGACTGTGGGAAAGTCAAGACTGGTCTCTTCACTCCTGATTATTTTGCTCCTTTCTTCCTCAGCCTACTGTCTTGCATTTCAGTTGTCATTAAGTTGGCATTTAGCCTCTGGGAGCTTTCAATGTTTTCCATGCTGTTCCTCCTGTGAGTAAACGACACCATCCATTCAGTACACAGTTGAGTAAGTTTCACACCCATCCCACTCAACCCTTCTGGGTAACAAGGAGGGGGATTCCAGAATGTAGTTGCACAGTGATCAGAGAAAATTTTACTAGATGTCTCTTCTGAGCCTGTCAGTGGGACAGATGAAGACCTAAGCAATGGCAGTGCTTTATTATCTTGTTTACAAGCCGTATCAGTGGGAAAACAGGCAGATCTAAATGTTAATGGCTGCATCCTTTTGCAGCGGTGTTTTCGCGGACCTTTCAAATGAGAAAAGAAAGTGGTGTTTTGCACATGATGCAGTTTCTCAAGATGAGATGGCATCGAGGCTTGCACTGCACTGTAATACATCAGTCTCTTCCTCCTACTACCCTTGGCAGTTGAACTGTGTCATCCTCCCTGTGCTTGGTGGGAAGGTCTACCGGAGCCGATTAAATACAACCCATAGTCTCACGTAAGCAGATGTGTAGTACTTACGTGCCACTATTAAGTACATAGTTACGGCTTATCTGAAAAGAAATAGTAAATCGCAAAGAGATGTTTGAAGGGACCAGATTAAAGAGTGCGCTCAGCACTTCCAGGGAGAAACATTAGCTTCCTCTCAAAAGTACAGCATGGTGAAGAGTGACTGAAAATAGCTCAGGACAGAGATCCAGCACAGAAAGCATGTGTCCCAGGGCTCTCACTTCCAGAGCTGTCTCAGGCCTGACAAGTGCTAGTTGACTTGTGTATTCTTCCAACATCCCTTCCCACTCAGGCTCTGAAACAGGCTCCCAAGGAAGGCCTCAAAACCACTTTTGGTTCATTAAGAGAGCAGTTTGTATTGACAGAGGTAATGCTTTGCAAAATGCATGATCCCAAATAGTGCCATCTCAGTATTTACCAACTTAGTCTTGCTGGTAAAGTTGTTCTGTAAATAATTCAGTAAACAAGAGCTAAACTAGATGAACGAAATCCAAAGAGTGGTCAGTAGCAGATGGTGTAGGGGAGGATCATTACAGTGAAATGATACCTTTTCAGAAGATTGTTCAGCCTTCAGTGATCAATCAAGCATCTCAACGTCCTCTTCATTATGTTGCATATGGAGGTGGAACTCTGTTCTGGTCAAAGAAGCTGTGCAAGGGGACAATTCTGCAAGAACAGATCAGTAACCCATAGAAGCTGGTTACTGTTGTAATACTGTAATTACTGTTGTAATACTATAGCAGACCGTTACTAGAGGCTGTTGTGTGGATGTTGGATGTATTTGACTTGCCCATCCACTGGCTACCACCCTGCATCAGCTGGAAGCCTTTTGTGTAGCACTTGAAATAAGTGCAGAATAGTGTGGCCTCTCAGTTTTTAGCATCCATCTCTTTTGCATGGTGTACTGAGAGAAGAGGACAGTCTGGAAAATAGTAACAAAGTGTTAAATAGTGACTTGAAAATAAAGGAATTATTGATAAGAAGCAAAAACCTAGCATAACACTTACTAGTGCTGGTCCTAAATACAGGAGCTGCTTTTTATAGAAACTTTTTTAATGGTGTCTGTAATAAGATAAACAAGAAGCACTTGGGTTGGGCTCTGTATAAATAATCTCCTACTGATAAGAAAAATGACAGTATAAACAGGAGCTAATAATAGTTCCTGCGGAATTTCCTATTGTGTTATTTGAAGCTCCTTTTAACTTGGCTGCAGCTTACTTGGGGGTCGGTATTTAGCCCTTCGTGTGTCAGTTGAGATGCCAAATTTTTTATCAACAATAAATTGAAGTCGTATGCTGCAATTTGCTTTAATTGCCACCAAAATTGTATCAAGGTACCAAGGGTGTTATGGTCAGAGGGCAAAGGATAAAGAGATAAATGTAAACTAGTTAAGTAATGATGTCTCTTAGCTTCTGAATGTAGATGGAGGGTGAGGGAAATGTTTGCAGAAAGTAATGTCTTTGTTATGTACTACAGTAAAGGAGAGAGGGAGGAGTATACACAGATGAGCCTTTTGCAGCCAGGCTAAATGCTTTGATGGATGATGCCTCTACAAGGTTTGGAAATAGTACTTTTTCCATTTTTTACACATAGGGAGTGAAGGAACAAAAAAGAGACTTACTTCCCTGAGGGTCACAGTGGAAGCACTCTGTTGCAGAGCAGGAATTTGAATCCAGATTTCTCAAGTCTTAGGCTAGTAGCACAAAAACTGAACCACCATTAAAAAAAGAAATCAACAACGATAAAATGAAGAGGTCATTTTTAGTTTTATTTTTTTAAATACCTAATACAGAGCTTCCCTGTGTTCAGTTCTGCTAACCTTCCCAATTATTCTAGTTGTACCATTCAGCCCTGTCCTACTGTCTCTGTCTTAATTCATATGAGATCTTCAGGACTTAGCTTTGTGTTATGCTAAACACACAGAGCGTCTAGCATGGTGGAGGGCAGCCTTGAAGCACTACTGTAACTTAAATAAGATCCCCTAAGGTTTGGAACTGATGCACAGGGATGCTGAGCGAAGTGAAACTTAAGTACTTCCATTGTGAGGAGAATTCAGAAAATTGCTTAGTAACTGATCATCTGAAATGACAAGAAATTGGATTTTGAAAAACATTTTTCTTCCTCTTTTTTTTTTTTAAATACTCATGACAACACAGCGAAAGATGTGTTTTTCTGTAACTTTGATCTTTCCAAGTTTTCTGTAGACAAGATTTGCTAATCTCCTAATTTGATGGATGTCCTTTGCTGTGGGAAGGAGTGACATGTGACACAAGTCAACATTTCATAGAATCGTAGAATCAGAGAATGGTTTGGGTTGGAAGGGACCTTAAAGCTCATCCAAGTTCCAACCCCCTGCCACAGGCAGGGACACCTTTTA